ACTGTTAATTTATTATGCTGATCTGTTCTGTACGACATCTATTGCACGTCTGTCCGTCCTGGAAGAGGGATCCCTCCTCAGTTGCTCTTCCTGAGGTTTCTACCGTTTTTTTCCCCGTTAAAGGGTTTTTTTTTTTTTGGGGAGTTTTTCCTTATCCGCTGTGACGGTCATAAGGACAGAGGGATGTTGTATGCTGTAAAGCCCTGTGAGGCAAATTGTGATTTGTGATATTGGGCTTTATAAATAAAATTGAAATTGAAATTGAAATAAATTGAAATTGATGTTTTAGATGAAAATTTTGACGACATACTATACTATAATGCTTAGATGAAATTTTTGACGACATGCTATACTATGACGTTTTAGATGAAAATTTTGACAACATGCTATACTATGACATTTTTTATAAAAAATGTGGCGACATGCTATACTGTGACTTTTTTCATGAAGATTTTGACGACATGCTATACTGTGACGTTTTAGATGAAAATTTTGACGACATGCTATACTGACGTTTTTTTATAAAAAAAGTTTAGCGACATGCTATACTATGACTTTTTTTTATAAAAAAAAAAGTTTGGTGACATGCTATACTGACGTTTTTCGTGAAAATTTTGACGACATGCTATACTATGACGTTTTTCATGAAAATTTTGACGACATGCTCTACTATGACATTTTTTATAAAAAATTTGGCGACATACTATGACATTTTTTATAAAAAAACTTTGGCGACATGCTATACTACGACATGTTTTGTGAAAATTTCGACGACATACTATACTATGACGTTTTAGATGAAAATTTTGACGACGTACTATACTATGACGTTTTAGATGAAAATTTTGACGACATGCTGTACTGAAGTTTTAGATGAAATTTTTGACGACATGCTATACTATGACATTTTTTATAAAAAAACTTTGGCGACATGCTATACTGTGACGTTTTGTGAAAATTTTGACAACATACTATACTATGACGTTTTAGATGAAAATTTTGACGACATGTTATACTATGACATTTTTTATAAAAAATTTGGCGACATGCTATACTATGACGTTTTAGATGAAATTTTTGACGACGTTATACTATGACATTTTTTATAAAAAATTTGACGACATGCTATACTGTGACGTTTTAGATGAAAATTTTGATGACGTACTATACTATGACGTTTTAGATGAAATTTTTGACGACATGTTATACTATATTTTTTATAAAAAATTTGGCGACATGCTATACTGTGACGTTTTAGATGAAATTCTTGACGACATGCTATACTATGACGTTTTTTATAAAAAATTTGGCGACATGCTATACTGTGACGTTTTAGATGAAATTCTTGATGACATGCTATACTATGACGTTTTTTATAAAAAATTTGGCGACATGCTATACTGTGACGTTTTTCATGAAAATTTTGGCGACATGCTATACTATGACGTTTTTTATAAAAAAAATTTGGTGACATGCTATACTTTGACGTTTTTTATAAAAAATTTGGCGACATGCTATACTATGACGTTTTTCATGAAAATTTTGGCGACATACTGTACTATGACGTTTTAGATGAAAAAATTGGCGACATACTATACTATGACATTTTAGAAGAACATTTTGATGACATGCTATACTATGACGTTTTTCATGAAAATTTAGACGACATACTACACTGTGACGTTCTTCGTGAAAATTTTGACGACATGCTATACTATGACGTTTTTTTTTTTATAAAAAAAGTTTAGCGACATGCTATACTATGATGTTTTTTTATAAAAAAAAGTTTGGTGACATGCTATACTGACGTTTTTTTGTGAAAAAATTTGACGACATGCTATAATATGACGTTTTTCATGAAAATTTAGATGACATACTACACTATGACGTTTTTTAGTTTTTAAAATTTGGCAACATGCTATACTATGACGTTTTTCGTGAAAATTTTGACGACATGCTATACTATGACGTTTTTTATAAAAAAGTTTGGCGACATACAACACTATGACTTTTTTTTATAAAAAAAGTTTGGTGACATGCTATACTGACGTTTGTTGTGAAAAATTTGACGACATGCTATACCATGACGTCCTAGATGGAAAATTTTGACGACATGCTATACTACGACGTTTTTCATGAAAATTTAGATGACATACTACACTATGACGTTTTGTATTTTTAAAAATTTGGCGACATACTACTATGACATTTTTCATTAAAACTATGCTGGTTAGCTTAGCTTAGCATAAGAGTGGAAACAGCCCTGCTCTGTGTTAAGGAGTTGTGCAGGTGATGGAAGAGAGATTTTGTTTCGTGTTCTGCAGAGAGTTGGGAAATACAACAGACAGTCAGTGAATTGCTTTATTGAGTTTCCAGACAAGTTTAACAACAGGCCCACTTAAAAAAAAAAACAAAGAAACAGATAATCAGGATCAACGTCACAACATTACAGTGAGAGTAATAAAAAAAAAGGGCTTCATTAAAATGTCCACAAACCCCTGAAATTAAATTGAGTGTGAAGAATCACAAGAGTCACCTTCTTCCCTTTTTAAGCTCCTGCAACACAATTCATCAACAGGAAATCAGGACGAGAAGAAAAAACAGGCTGAAGTATCATCATCAATAATAGTCACAGTAATAGATTGCTCGAATAGCGTGTATTGCACATGTGTACACATATATGCACTTTATATACATGTGAGTCTGCAAGATCTAGACACATGTTGTTTCGTCGCAACAGGAAAGAATCTGGAGAAAACGACAGCACGGACAGAGAAGAGTCAGGAATGTGCTTGTGATCAGTTCCAACCAAAACGGCGTTTTCCGAGTTTTCAGTCACGAGCTGGATGAGAGAAAGGTGAGAGAAGGAAGGTCCCCCCTCGAAAAGAGACGGAGGTAAAAGAGACGGAGAGAGAAGGTGACAGTGAACCTCCTCTGTCGCACCAAGAGTCCAAAAATACCCCCCCACACCCCACCCCCGACACCGCGTCATAGCAGGACACTACATTTACACCACAGTATCAAACATATCAAGAAATATACAGTATTAACTCATGTAGCAAAATAGTCTGTGTGTGTGTGTCAAAGTGTGCGCTTCACCTCAGTGTGTGCGTGGGTGGAAGCAACAGTGATGCTGCGCAGCCTCTGGACTGAGGAGGACATTCATCATCAACATCATCATCAGACTGTCAGCACTGTTCATGTTTCAGAGTTTTCACTGTGCTGGTGCAGACGCTCCTCTACGTGCTGAACTCCAGTTTGTCTCCGAAAAAAAACCCCAACCAAACTGAACAAGCAGCAACTACGGCCGGACACAAGCTTTTGTAAAGGTTTTCAAAGGAAGCTTTGAACGTCTGTCGTATTTCAAGACGTCATCACCCCCCACAAACAAAAAAAAAGAAATAAAAATATTCAGACAAAATCCTCAATTTAAATAAAATGATTTAACCAATTAAATCATTTTTTAACATTAATTGTCTTGGCAACAACAATGACTTTTTGAAGAGTGGCATCTAGTGGTGAAGTTGAAGATTGCAACCAACTGAAAACCCTTCTGCTCACCACTTCCTGTCTAACCATAAAGTTTTTTTTGATGAACAGTTTTCTGACTGCAGGGAAAATGTTTTTTTTAATTATTATTATTATTAATGCTGAATGCCAATAAATATGAATGAAAGAAGAATATTTTATTGGATAAAAACATGTGAATTTTGAAAATGATTCCATCTGTCTTAAAAAAACTAATTTTGACTTTTGGAAAAATAGGGCCCAAGTTGTGATAAACCAGAGTTATGATAACAGCTGTATATTTTACACTGCAGTTCCTCTAATGGCCACTAGCTGCTGCCGCAGTGAGAGAAAAAAGACCAAATTATTCAACCGACAATTTAATTTTAGTTCATTTTAATTGAATTCGTTGGTGCCTGTTTAATATGGAATTCAATTTAAGTAAAAATTAAATAAATAAATGCACAATTATTCCTATTAAATAAATGAACATGGCTGTGAAATAAATAAATAATGAAGCAAAAAATATATAAATGAGTCAATGTAATTCAATAAATAAATAAATAAATACATACATAGGATATCATTTGCCAAAAGACTATTACTTATTTTAAGGGACTTTTATTTCCTAATTCCACATTTATTTCCATCTGATTTATTTAAATAAATATTTACTTCGGTCTGAACAATAAAATCAAACCAAAACAACAGCACCAGAACTGAACTGAATCACAACCTGTTATTAAAAGAGCTGAGAGATAAATGTGACATCAGGAGGTAAAAGTCCTCCGTAATAAATAAAAAAGGTTTCTTTTGAAAAACATAATTTATTTCTGGAAATTTAAAAAAAAAGAATTTATTCATGTATTTATTTATTTAATATTAACTCAGTTGATGTTCCGTACATTTAAACACAGCTGATAAAATCCTGGTAGTTGCTGCTTGTTCGTCCCACTCCAGCTGTTTGTTTTGTTCCTCCCATGTAAATTTTTGTGTCATCGCCGTAACCCCGCCCCCTCCCCGCCCCCCCCAGCCTGAGGCACTGCGTTCACTGACTGCTGGTATGATGGACAAAATGGCCTTAGTGTTTACATCAGTACAAAAAGACGACACTGAGCTCAATAAATCAATCAATCAATCAATCCTCTGTCCATCCACCTGACAGGTAACACACACACACACACACACACACACACAGAGCGCTCACCCGCACCTTTAAAAGCTCCATGATGATGTGGTGCTGTGACGCTGCCTGCTGAAGGCTGGACGCTGTCGGTCCAGTCACTGCTGTCCTGTCAGTGTTGTATTGCTTTGAACAGATGAGACCCAGAGGTAGCAGCGGCAGCTACAGGCTCCTGGGAGACGGACGTTTGTGAGGTTTGAAGAGTGTGTCGGCAGAGTTCGCTGACTGATGTCGCTCTGCTGAGTTTCTGTAGATGTGAGCAATAGAGTGGTCCAGTTCTGAGGCTTCCAACAGAGAACAGTCGCTAACGGCCTTGACTGGGAATTCTTTGTGAAAAGTGACGCTGGAGAACACGTCACGTCTCTAAAGCTGTGCTTTAAGGGGACAAACAGCCGTTGGTTGTGCGGCTGTATGGGCGGGAATTTGATACAAGATGGCCGCAGCCGTATCTGCGATACTTTGGCCTCAGTGTTTGCACAGTAGGAGGAAGTGGAGACGTGTCGGCCATCTTTACATACAGTCGTTGGTTTGGAGTTTTGGTCGACTCGTCAGAAGCTTGAACAAACTTTTACATTCAGGTCAGACGTGATTTCATTACTATTAGCACACTAGGGTTTTTTTATGGTAAATTGGTGACTTTCATTTTTGAGAAATTCTATTTTTTTTTTTTTTAAGATTTGCAACGTAATAATCTTACAAAATATTCAGTATTTTTTTTATCGTAAAAATTTGACGTACATTTTAGAGAATTTCTGATTTTTCTGTAAATTTCTGACTTTTGTGGGTTTTTTTTTAAATTTGCAACTTTAATCTGAGAGAATTTCTGACGTATTTTGTAAATTTGTGATCTAATAATCTTAGATAATTTTCAAGGAATTTTATCATCAATTTGTGACGTTAATTTTAGAGTATTTCTGATTCTATTGAAAATTTGTGATTTACTAATCATAGAGAATATCTGAGTTTTTGTCATTTGCACCTGAATCCTGGAAAAAAAACACACTATCAAAATGTACGCAGAGCGGTTCGTTAGCTCTGATCCAGGAACAGTGAACCGTGAACGACAAGTGGATCAAAAGTTTGTTTCAGCAAGAACGATGAAGAAATGAATTCACAGGATGGAAGGCAAACTTCCTCTGAGTCACCCCGTTTCTCCTGAACCGAGAGACGTCCATCTGGTGGGTTTGTATTTTTAACTCCGTCTCTGTAACAGCTTCGTGTAGTTCAGCGGTCGAGGCTGTTGGACTACAAAAACGCATCATCACTGGACCAGCCTATTTACCGAGTCGTGACCTTTGACCTTGGATAACCTGCCTTTCTGTAGTCGCTGCTGTTTGCCTGCGGAGGGCAGCACTGGTCCTGCCAGAGGAACTGGAGCTCGCCGCTCACCTCCAACAACAACAACCACCACTACGATGACATCATCCAGCCACCCTCAACATCTGTTAACAAACAAACAAACAAACAAACAAACAGGTGGCGGTCCGACGACCTCAGACCGTGTGCTTACTTCCTGTCAAACAGCTCAAACCTTTAAAACATCAAATCTCCAAATAGAATATATTCAGAACTCCAATCTGATTGGATAAAACAATGTTTACATATATATATATTTATATTTATATATAGAATATGATTTTTTCTTTTTTATACAAAAAGAGATTTTGTGTTTTTTACATAGACGTATGTACAGAGATAGAAAAGTGAGTCTGCTGTGACGGCGCCGTGGACACGACAGGAAACAGTATTTACACCAAATAAAAAAACAAAGAAAGAAAGGAAGGAGGGGCGTGGTGGTCGCTGTGGTGTTTCAAAAACGTGCCACAATCCCACAATCCCCTTTACAGGAAGGGGCGGGGCTCAGGTCACATGACTGAGTGAGTGAGGGAGAGGAGTGACGGAGGGTTGGTTGACGTGATGAAGATGCTGAGACGGGCCTGATCCTGAGACACTCGCGCCAGCGCCCACAGAGTCTGGCTGAATATCATTATTAAAGTGACGTTCATATTCAGCGGAGACTTTGCGGGACGTCCCGGCGTGTTCTGATGGCTTTAAAGTCTGATGGGAGGAGCTTTGATGGATGTGTGGTTACATGGCAGTTCTCCCCTCGCCGTCTCTGTCGGGGCGCTGACGAGTGACATGAGAACAAATTAAGGCATCCAGACGAAGAAACAAAGACTCAAAGATGAACTGACCGACAGCAGTGTGTGTGTGTGTGTGTGTGTGTGTGTGTGTGTGTGCACATCAGTGTGTTTCTTCAGTCCTGATTGGCTGGTTGGTTGCTGAGGTGCTGTGGCGGTGGCGTTTTGTGGATCGGACGGTTTTGTTTTTCGTTAAAAAAAGGCACCTAGTTCCTCCTCCTCCTCCTCTGTTCATTGTCAAACTCCTCGCTCGGCCTGTCTCTGACAGACGGACGCACAGACAGACAAGAGGACAAGTCGTCCACTTGGCGTCTGGCATTTTGACAGGTCATCGTCCCGCTGTGGAAACAGAGGAGTCGGGACAGACAGGTGTGTGATGAAGCTGTGTACAGGTGCTGACGTATGACCCTTCCTCCTCTGGTTTCCATGGAGATGCCAACAAGTCGTCCGCTCCTCCTCGGGTCGAGTAGAAAAGAGATGCGTCTCTGTTTGTCACAGTCCCCACCTCCTCCTGCCTCCATAATGTCCTCCTCAGCCAATCAGAGTCCTCCACAGCGGCACACCTCCACTCTGTGTTTGTGGAGGAAGAGGAAAAGGACAAGGAAGAGGAGGTGCCAGCAGAAGGTGAATGTGGAGTTCTTGTGTGGTTCTGGTTAAAGCTCCTCCTACAACACAGGCTCCTCCTCCATCGGCTCCTCCGTGGACCTGAAGGCGACAGGAAATGATGTCACACATTTAAAATCTAAACAAGGCGTTCATGTGCTCAGTGTGAAACGTCACGCCGCACCGCTGACCTGCTGGTTTCTGTGTCGTCAGGATCCGCGCCCGGCGGCTCGACATCAACACTGAGGGACGCCATGGCGCTGACTGTCTCCGCCTCCTCCTTCTCTGATTGGCCCTGAGCGCTGATGGGGTCGTCCAACAGTGACTGTCCGCTCGTCTGGGACAAAGTCTGGAGACAGGACCAGTGTTTACCTGCAGGGACGAAAAGACGGAGGGTCAGGACACGCCGCAGCGTCATCAGTGTGTATACGTACAGTGTGTGTGTGTGTGTGTGTGTGTGTGTGTGTGTGTGTGTCTTACTCTGGATCTCGATGACTCTCTCTAACGAGGCCCGAGCTTTGGGACACGGCTTCTCCTGCGGCCTCTGAAACACAGCGTCACACTGACACACACACACACACACACACACGTTAACAACACAAATCACAGTGACCTTCGACCACCAAAATCTAATCAGGTCTAAGTGGATGTTTGTGCCAAATTTGAAGAGCTTCACTCGAGGTGTTTTAATATCATGTTCATGAGAATGAGACAGAGGAGGTCACAGGGACCTCGACTTCTGATCATCCAAACCTAATCAGTTCATTGTTGAGTCGAAGTGACGTTTGTGCCAAATTTTTTAAAAAAATCCCTGAAGATGTTCTTTAGATATGTTCACAAAAATGACACAGACACATGATCTCAGTGAACTCGTTAGGTCTGAGTGGACGTTTGTGCCAAATTTGAAGAAATTCCCTCAAAGTGTGTGAATACGTATGAAAAGACAAACAGAGAACCTGCAAACAAAATGCAGCTTCGCAGCTATCGCTGGCGCCAAAGCATAAAAAGTTGAACTGTTCCTTTAACGTTCAAACGGACATGAGAATCTGTCGTACGGAGATTTAAAATCTGTAAAACGCCTCAAACAACCACGAAGCGTTCTGCAGACCTACAGAGTCCTCGTCATGTCTTCGTCCTGTTCACTGTTTGACACTAAGCCATAACTAATCACTGATCAGATTCTCACCGGGTCTCCCAGGAGCGCAGAGACGCAGGCCTCTGATGCGTCACAGATGGCTGTGAGGTCATGACCTCCCTCCAGCGCCATGACAACGCGCCCGCCCGCCAGACCCATCAGCAGCTGCGTCAGCTGACTGAAACCTGCCGACACACGACATGTTCAGAGACACTGATTATTAAAAGCACTTGGCAAAGTGCTGCTGAGGCCGCGCTCACAAACGTGTCTCTGTCTGGTCACCATGGTAACCGGGGTGTCACTCACACTTGGCGGAGACGTTGTATCCTCCCAGAGGAGACTGATGACCCTCCACGGCGTCGAAGCCCGCAGACACCAGGACCACGTCTGGACTGAACTGCTGGGCGACAGGCATCACTATGGTCCTGCACACACACACACACACACACACACACACACACACACACACACTCTATTACAGCTCCTTCCTTACAGTATTCGTAATGCAGGGTATTTTTTTCATGCTGCGTTCATGTGCTGTCAGAATAAAAGGAAAAATGAGTTCCTGACGCCGCTTCAAGTTGGAACGTAAACTCCAAACTTGACAAAGTTGTTGGTGCACCTGGACCTGCTGACTCTGATGTCATATATACAGAAACCTGATGACAGTAAATGTTTGGCAGGTGAAAATAAACTCGTATTAGTTCACATATTTGGCGCTGAGCGATTAAAACGATGTCGACAGCCGATTGTGATGAAATTCATGTTTAATGATGAAAAACTTTGGACATTTTTACTGGATATGAAAATCAAATAGCTGATGACGCAGCAGAAGTAACCGTGACAAGAGCCAGTCAGTGTGCTGCGTCCTTCTCTGCCTCTGCTCTGATTCGCTGCCTGTTTATTTATTTATTTATTTATTCATATTTTATATTTTCTTTTCGCCATATGAACGATCTGTGTAGCTGTCTCTGATCAGTGTTGTCTGACTGAGCTGCTCTCACTGTAAAAGCTGACCAGACCGTTTTTCTGTTGTATTTTAGATGTGTTTTAATTGTATTACCTGTATTTTGTTTGATTGTTGTATGGTGACCTTGAGTGCCATGAAAGGCGCCTTAAAAATAAAATGTATTATTATTATTATTATTATTATTATTATTATTATCATCATCATTAAAGGTATCACAGATCTCGTGCGTCTATCATCACTTCTTCTCTGCTTTATAGAAGCACTAAAGGGAGAGGAGCCAAACTGTCAGAATCTAATAAACCGGTGTTTATTTTATTCTCCTTATGATATGAATTTTTCATACACCGCAATACCGGTGAATAGCCCAAACAACGTCCGGAATGTGCACGGCGGGAAAGTGTTTCAGCGGGGACCCATTTCACCGCTGCACACCACAGGCGTGCTCGAGCCGGCGAGAGCATAGAGAAAAGTTTAGAGGCGAGAATGGCTGCTGGAGAGAGTCCTGAAACTGAACTGTACACGATGACCCAGAAGAACTCAAACCACAACGAGCAGTGTTTCCCTGAATGCAACTAGCAGCGGCGCACCGTCATGCTGAAATATGAACTGCTGAATTATTTTTCTTTTTTTTTTGTCTTAGCACTTTAGAAACTACCGTTACATTATTTGGAGCTACGGACGCTTCATATCCAGGCCTATAGAACAGGTCTAGACCTTGTCCTCTTATTAAACAAACTAAAGAGCCTTATGTTATTCATCTTATTTACACCATGGCATGTCATTTCTGTCTCTACAT